AATAAATTTATGAAAATTTAATCCCCAATTTTAATTACCACCTAGTATAGCCACCCTTCGCATTAATTACATCTTGATTGCGTTCCTCCATACTTTCAATTAGCTTCATTAAAAACATGTTATCAATTTCAATCCAAATTTTTTGTATCGCATCCCACAATTGATCTTGAGTATGGATACCAGTTGACGACATTCTCAAACAACGATCTATTTCGTTCCAGAGATGCTCAATTGGGTTAAGATCAGGTGATTGGGCAGGCCAATCGAGCAAACGGATATCATTATCATCAAATCATTCGTACGTAGATTTTGTCGTGTGTTTCAGATCATTGTCTTGTTGAAAGACAACATCATTTTTATTAATTTCATATCACTGGATTGTTCCTAAAAGGTTATCATTTAAGATTTCGTGATATAAATTCTTATCCATATAACCATAAATACGTACGATATTACCAACGCCGAAAAATCTAAAGCAACCCCAAATCATTATATTCCCACCCCAAATTTTACTGTAAGTTTTACGTGATGCTCTTTCAAAGGTTTATCATCACGTTTCCAGTAATATTCACATCCGTCTGAATTAAAAATCATAAATTTTGATTCATCTGACCAGATGATTTTGCTCCAATCGTTAATAGTCCAATGACGATATTTTTTCGCAAATTTTAAACGTTGAATTCGATGTGTTTTTTTGAGATATGGTTTTTTTTTATTAATTCGTGAAGAAAGACCATTATAATGTAAAGTTCGCTTTATTGTGCTTGTGCTGACATCAATTTTATTATCAGTTTTTAATTTTTTTTGGATAGACATTGCAGTGGGAAAACTACCATTCGAAATTAGATGTATAATATTTCATTCATCACGTCCAGTAAAAATTCTAGGATGACCTGGTTTTGGTAAATCTTTAAAGGTATTATGAGTATCTTTTTTTTTGCTTTATTCTTATAACGGAGGATTGGGAAATATTTTCACAATTTGCAATATAATGGAAAGAATATCCTTCTTTAAGAAGGATATAAATTTGGGATCTTTTTTCGACAGAAATATGTGCCATAATAATTTTAATTATACGAGATAAAAGAGTAAATTCATAAGTGTATTTTGTTTATAGGAGATGTGTTTTGTTTTGTTGTGTGTTTTTTATCCATTTATATATTTGTTTTGAGGAGAGAAACGATCAAAAGAAATGCATCATCAGTTTGGTGTAATAAAGTCCAAGTTAAGCAAAGTGGTGTTACATTTATTCTTTAAATTGTATGTATTATTTATTTATGCTTTTAACTATATATGGGCTAAGTTTCATTTACCTATGGCATCTATATTGCTAAAAATTCCACAATTCGTTTTTTCGTCCTAGTAATGTATTACTTTTGAGTGCCACTGTACTATAATTCCAAAATCGGGGTATGGCTTATTTATAGTAGAGGTCTTCTACTACTTGTACACAAGCTTTGAAGATGATCAAGGGAAAAAGATTTGTTAACAAGTATATTTTACAAGTTGGCACTTTTATTGATCAGAGCATCTGCTTTCTCTACTTGAAAGAAGCTCCTTTTATAACAATCCTTTGACTATACTAATTACATTTTTCATATTATAGATTTATAACAATAGAAATAAAAACATTGGTCCATTTATTCACAAGAAAATATTCACTCGCAATTATCAACTTTAAATTATCAGCTGAAAGTTATCAGCTTGATAATGTAAACAATTATCCAAACACGTAAATGTAAAGTAGTCCAACAAAGGGGTTTCCTAAATAGGAACATAATGTATTAACGTTAAACGCTAAATGGTTACGAAGGTTAAAATAGTAATAATAATCATGTGAGATGGGGATCGGGGTGATTCGTAATAAATAATAACATAAATTGTAAAGAATTTATGGAATTAGGGAATTTCGTGTTGCTACGGCAACACTACATAGGCCAAGTACTCGACGGCCTATTATATCTGCATGAGCAAGGACTAACTACCAAAAATGGCCAAGTGAGATTAGCAGATTTCGGTGTCGCCAACATATGGTGGTCGGATCGCCGTACTGGACGGTGCCCGAGGTAATCGAGTTGTCAAGCGACAACCGCTTCAGATATCTGGAGTGTTGGGTGTGTCGTGATAGAGTTGTTGGAGGGGAAACCACCGTACTCGTATTTAGATCCAATGCCGGCATTGTTCCGGATTGTGCAGGATGAACATCCGCCGTTGCCAGAGAGCGCGTCGCCCGCAGTCAAGAATTTTTTGATGCAGTGTTTTCAAAGGATGTCAATTTGAGAGTTTCGGCAAAGCAGTTGCTGAAACATAGCGGATTGCTAGTGCTCGTGATGGAACAAGTACAATAAGAGAAAAGACTCTATCACGGTCTATGAAATGCCTATTTTCACTGAATAAAGTTTTACAAAGCGTTAGATTATAATATGACATTAGACGAGAAAAATAGTCTACCAATTACCCCAACTTCTTCACCACCTTTGGAGACGAAGTTCAGTGTCAAAAAATCATCACGCACTTCTTTATCACCAACTCAACAACAATATCAGCCGCTGATTGGTATTCCGGATTCTTCGACCAGTCCTAATACCGATCCATCTTCAACATTATCATCATCATTATCACCACCATATCCGCCTCATTCTTCAACGTTGAAAATTCAGCAAGCATACAAGCAACCGTCATTTCTCGAAACTAGTAATTGGGACACTGGCGCTGCAGTATTCTCCCCTAATGTCGTGGACCATCATACAAATGCAGAATCTGCAAATGACAATTGATGGCTTCTATTACTTATTCGAAAATAATTGCTTTGCAAAAGATAGTCACGTATATCGAAATAGTTTGATCGGTTTGAACCAGTCTCAAAAACCGGTTTCAAAACTGAACTGATACATCTCTGCCTAAAAGTCATTGCTGGTACACGTACAAATCAGCACTATTACTATACTTTCTGTATCGGTATGCATTTTAATCTAATCTATATCACCTTTTAAAATGATACATAATCCCACACAAGCAAACTGTGAAACAGTTAAGAATTTATGGCGACAAGACATCGAAATGTAACAAAAATCTCTCAAAAAACTTGTATTCCTCTTTATTCCTATAGACATTACATGGTCCAGCTTCGTAAAAATGGCCAAATTCAGAAGATTCACCATTCTGGCCATCCACGCAAAATCTCACCTGATATGCATCGTCAAAATTGACAAATTGTAAATTTGAATCATTTTGTCATGATGGCTGAAATCAAGGCTCGACTTGAAGAAACGCATACCGGCTTTGAGGTATATGACAAACTATTTGTGATGAACTTTCCAGACTTGACTATATTGCTACTTTGCTGAGACGTGTTCCACTTCTCACTGAACAGGCCAAGAGAGACTGGTTGCAATGGGCACAGAATCACTCTCATTATAACTGGCACAAAGTAGTGTTTTCTGATGAAACAACTTTGCAGATGTTTCAGAACACTTGCTTGAACCTGGTCACGTTTTGACAAACCTGTTGCACTGATGGTAAAACATCCATTTAAGCTTCACATATGGGGAGCAATTTGTGCATGTGGCAAAGTTGGAATGTGCACATTTGTGGAGAATATGGATCGATATCTCTATCGGCAGATCCTCAATGAGAATCTGTATGATAATGCAACTAGCATATATGGACGTCAGTGCTGGATTTTTCAGCAGGATAATGATCCTAAACATACCTCAAAAGATATTTGTGCTGATCTCGAGTTGCAGTTGCCGGATATAAATTTTTTTATAATAAAAAACCGCCGGCCATTACTTTCCGGGGGGACTGTATTCTTTTTAAAAACACGCTAATCGAATAAAATTAAACAATAAATTGATTGATTCATTTTGTTCTAGTATTATCTGAAACTTTAAAAGCTTGCTGAATTTGGCCGGATGGACTACTCAGTACGGTCTCCATTAGTTTGTGATCATGATCTTTGCAAAGGATCGATGGTCTTTGGATCGAATCAGACTGAATGGATCGATTAACAACCATAGTTTTAATTTGATCTTATATTCGCTACCAAAAAATCAGTAATGTGAGGATTTTGAATGTAAGCAGTCAAATTGGTGGGGTCACAAAAATTGTAACAAAAGAAATGTAAATTTCAATTACGATAAATTAGTATTATATTTAAGAATCAAGAAAGGAAGTAATGGATAATTCTTCATTACAAAAGCCTTTCCAATATTAAAAATGCTCGTTGATTGAAAATTGTCTCAAACAAGTATTTTAATTTTTCAAGGCAATGTAATTACATCGATTGGAAATAATTTAAATATTGCTTTTTACACACAGCACAGGAGAGCATATTAAATAACTGTTTGAAGTAAACCTAACCTTTAATATAGTTAAATAAAGAAACATCCTCCATATAATTATATACAACTTTTAAACCAATTAACTTTTTCAACAGACTAAACAAATTTTGGATTAACTCTGCTTATGTTTCATGTCGTTATAATTACATGTAGTCAGCTTTGACACTCAATATAACGAATATTTAGTAAACTGCGTTACAAGAAACCAGAAACATAGTATGATCGTTTGTAGACGATAAAATGACAATCAACTGCCTCGACGATTAGGTCTGTAGTTTGGTTATCTAAAGATACGCTTTCAGTGTTTTGAATTGTTGAGTCTGTTGCCCTTGTGAATGTCCTTTGTTGTTCTTGCATTTTTTTTTAAAGATTCATGATGGAAAGAAACTAGATAGGCAGAAATTATGGAACTTGATGAGAAGTTGAAAAAAAGCATTCCTACGGATAAACAAATGCAATTTACACCAATCAAATCTACCACAAAATTAATTTCAATTCCAACTGACACGAGTAATTTATATTTCTGAATATAAATTATATTAATATGACATGGTTGACTCTTCTGTGGTTTTATTGTTGCATAGTAAGTAAAAAGAAGTTTCGATTTAAAGATATTATTGAAAACATGTTTTCTTTATCAATTTGCTTCTATCAGACATTTTCTTTGAGAATTTTAACAAGATCAGTAACTTTGTCATTATTATTATCAGTGTAATTGTTATATTTATGTCGAATGTTTTACTCGATTTCTGAAAGTAAAAATATAAAAATCCCTAAATTCTATTGGAGTATATCTCGAACTGGATATTCAATTTCAGATTGATGAATGTCACTGTATTTTGGAGCCTAGAAAACTTGAGACTACATAACTTCGAATTTGTGTAATTTGATCCATCACGTTAGGGACTTGAAATATAAAATTTGGATTGATGAATCTTTTAAATACATTTCTTTGTTATTACATGTACATTACTTTATCATTTGTTACTTTTAACTACTATAGCCATTACAGAGCTTGTAAGAAACGTTATACTATCTAAGGGGTGGTGCTATGTTTCCCTAATAAAAAAAATGGCTCATTTAAAAGGAACTTTTCGAAGAAAAATGGGTTGAAAATTGATGAGAAGATGCGAGAAGGATCCTGTAAATTGATGACAAATACTGCAAAACATCAAAAATTGATGAAGATTCGTGCTATAATATTGAAAAAGAAACTATTGTTTTGTCTGCACGATGATGGAATTTGCTGTAAAAGCTTCCGAAAAAGGGAACCACATTGTTGACAATCATGATGGAATTTGCTGCTGTTGTGCTGTACACGATCTTCATAATTTGTTTTCTTCCACTCATTCCGGTGGAAACAATTTTTGATTTTATCGTTATTAATAGATCGTTTTCTTCCAATCATATAAACACATCCAGCTAATAAATAAAAATGACACCCGACTTGTTATTGACTTCACACTTAAACAGACTCGATAAGTTCTATCAAAATTCCAACTA